CCCCAAAACCCCAAAACCCCGTCAAAGTGGATCCAACTTTGTTAGAGTAAGTAGTAAATTATTATATGATTCAATAAGATTGCATACTTAGTATTTAAAGAGATTCTATCTTTACCTAAATTAATAATAATTAATTTCCAAATGAAGAAAGGATTCGCTATCACACTCGCAGTTGTCGGAGTTGTTGCAGTAGCAGCTGTTATTGCCCTCAACGAAACTCCAGCTCAAACTCAATTGAATTTCAGAACTGTCAACGACGATAACGTTGACTTTAATCACTACATGAGCAGATTTAGCAAAAACTACAAGACTCCAGAGGAATACAACCAAAGACTCGCACTTTACAAGAAAACTATGGCTACAATCAATAGCCATAATGCTAACAACGGTGGATCTTTCTTCCTCAGACCAAACAAATTCACTGATATGACCAAGGAAGAATACAAAAAGCTTCTTGGTTTCAAGCCAAGCAACAAGATCTACAAGAGGGCTGTTTCCTAAAAAGACCCCAGCACTATTCCAGATGCCATTGACTGGAGAGACAAGGGTGTAGTAAATGAAGTCAAGGATCAAGCATAATGCGGTTCTTGCTGGGCCTTCTCAACTGTCGGTGCTCTTGAGAGCAGAACTGCCATCAAAACTGGCAAGCTCTAATCCCTTTCAGAGCAGCAACTTGTTGATTGCGACACCCAAGACGGAAACTAAGGATGCAATGGAGGAGATATGGGCACTGCCATGACTTACATTGCCAGCAATCCACTTGAAACTGAGGATGACTATCCATACGCTGGATATGACGAGTCATGCCAAGCTGACTAATCCAAAGAAATTGTTTCAGACCAAGGCCCAGTTGCTGTCACCCCAAGCAGCTCAGATGCTTTGAAGGCCGCAGTTGCTGAAGGTCCAGTCTCAGTCGCCATTGAGGCTGACACTGACGTCTTCCAATCCTATGGAGGTGGTATCTTAAATGATGATAGCTGTGGAACCAATCTTGACCATGGTGTTGTTGTTGTTGGTTACGGTTCAGAGAATGGCCAAGAGTACTATATTGTTAGAAATTCATGGAGCTCCACTTGGGGAGAGAATGGATACGTCAGAATCGCCATTGTTGATGGTGATGGTATTTGTGGTATCCAAATGCAACCAGTTTACCCTCAAGTCTGAGTGGTAAGTTGAATCTCAATTACTGACAAGTGATTAACAATATCTATCTTAATAATTCAAATCTTTCACTCTAGTCAATCTTAAATTTTAACAAGATATACACTCTCGGGGTTTTGGGGTTTTGGGGGTTTTGGGG